AGTTACGGCTTTCTGTAAAATCTTTGTAAGAGTTTCGCAGGTCGTTGAAACCAAATCTGTGATTTGTGTCTCAAAACGTTCAGGTTGAGGTCAGTGAATAGCAGCTCCCTCTCTCATTTAGCAATTTCATGAATATCATAAATACTAATACCTAAATACCATATTACTAGTATTACATTCCAATCCATAGGCATTGGAGTCCTCTGAGTACCTCCATAGTATGGTATATGAGGACTCAAGGGCACTTCTTTATCATAGGCCTTGACGATCTAAGGGTACCCCCGTAGTATAGCATATAAGGACCCAGGCATAGCTCCAAATAGTAAACCTTGACGACCTATGGGTACCTCCATAGTATAGCATATGAGGACCTACGAGTATCTCTATATAATAGACTATGAGGACCTGAGGTAACTGTATAGTATAGTTTATGAGAACCCAAGGGTACCTCTAAATAATAGGCCTTGGGGACCCAAAGGTACTCTCATAGTATAGCTTATAAGGACCCAAGGGTGCATCTAAATAATAGATCTTGGGAACACAAAGGTACTCCCATAGTATAGCATATAAGGGCCCAAGGGTAGCTCTAAATCATAGACCTTGGGGACGCAAAAGTACCTCCATAGTATAGTATATGAGGACCCAAAGGTACCTCAATAGTATAGTATATGAGGACCCAAGGGTACCTCTAAATAATAGACCTTAGGGACCCAAAGGTGCCTCCATAGTATAGTATATAAGACCCAAGGATAGCTCTAAATAATAGACGTTGACGACCTAAGGCTACCACATAGAATACCGTATGAGACCTATGGGTACCTCTATATAATAGACCCCGCCACTTTAATATACTTTAACGTACTTTGATGTACTTTACAGTACTTTGAAAGTACTTTAAGGTACTTTAAAGTACTTCAAAGTACTTCAATTTACTTTAAAGTACATTGAAGCACTTTAAAGTACAAAGGTACGGTGTTTCCCCCTTTGATCTGGTGTCATAAGTCCAGAATCCATAATAAATCAAGCCCAAATGGCCAGGCAAGCGAGCCAACTTAAGGTTATTCTAGTCCAGAGGTTCCAACATATAGTCAAAATATCAGGTCAAAAGCAAGGGGACACCTTGAGAAGTTCCTTCGTGAGATTCATCAACGGCAATCCAACGAAGAGAGTTGATCATTTATCGAACTCTCGACTTCCAGATCTACTAACTAACTAACTAACTTGTGTCTGTCTATCTTTTTTTTTCTTACTCAATAATGACAGAAGATTTTGTAGGAATCTTGTAAAAAAAAAAAAAGATGAATTTTTTCATATATTCACCGACATTTTTCAGGTCATAAAGAGCTTTATCTATTTTTGAAACAAGATGAACAATGTGATCATTGGAAAAAAAACAGTATCTTCATCAGTTCAAGACAAAATTTCTGAAACGCCTTGCCTGAGACTAAACCGAAATTTTCTAGAGATATTATTTAGTTTCGAAACGCACCAAAAATCAAGAAAATCAGGATTTTGTACCAAAATCAGGATAAATCAGGACGACTACGAAAAATCAGGAAATCAGGATCGCTGCGAGGCCTGTTGATGTTCAGAAGACTACTAATGATATTTTTAAGCCTTGAAATATAGTGAACGTAAGACTGTGATTCAGATTTTCTTGATTTTTCAACTTTATGTTTGAAGCTTTGATCGTAAGACTCATAAATACCAAATCGATTCTCTTCAAAGCTTCTTAGTAAACGAAAAACATGTGAAGCAAGTAAATTGTGTATGATAAATATTGTTGTTGATGGCACCCAGTACATCGTTATATCTTAACTTGTCCAAATGAAAACTGATTATAATGTACATACCATTTAAATATTGAGACAGAGCGTTTTTCCTAATAAATATATATATCCTTATAAACAAAAAAACCGTATCTACTAGCAGTTCATCAGATTATATATTTCGCCTGCTTCAGGTCTGATACTAATCTGTTTTAGTGAAACACGATCCAAAACGAGTGTTACTATATGTAGAATAGAAATATTCGTCCACATCATGACAGACGTTACCATGAAAACGTCACACACTGTATATCAACAAGTTTCATTATAATATATGAACTATTTCCGCGTTGCATTTGTGGAGGATTAAATGAAAAGACAGTAAAAACACACGTCCCAAAATAAATAGAGTACTTTCTTGTATGAATTGGCTTTTGATGAAAATAACCAATAATTATTCTAACTAGAACCTACTGTTTGATAACCTAATTTTTGAATAATTTCTCAACTATAATTACCATTAACAGTCCATTGATGTTGAGTTCCTCCACAAAACATTTGTACATGATCATAATATGTACAACATGTTTTAAAATCATTATCAAATAACCAGGCTGAACTACGTGCTGGTGGATCAGCTAAATAACCATGACCATGAGTTTGTTCAATAAAATAAAAATTTTGTGTAACAAGTAGAATAAAACTAATATAGTGCATTATATTTTGAATACACTTTCTATCGAAACACTGCAATGAAGATATGTAAGGCAGACATCAATTAATATCCAATAACGGTGATGATTCTGATTAACTGAACCAAAAACTAAACGAAGGTCAATAGTTTTGTTTTAACTTATTATATTGTATTATAGACAGTAATAAACAAAACAATAAAGGTCATTCTATTTGTTCGATATATCTATCAAAGATCGAAAGGGAGTCAATCACATAGAAAAAAACTTCTAGCTATTGAATGAAGGACATATTTAACGCCAAGGTTTATGAACAGAATATTTCGTATGATATATTTTAATACTTATCAAGGATAAATCATTAAGCATAACATATTATTAGACTAGATAGACAATAAATCATCAAAGTCCTTGCAGTCTTTAGCAATAAAAATAAATACATAAAATAAAAAACAAAATATTTCAAAATCTTCAAGTCGAAATTTTGTTCGAGCAGCTGATTGTTGAGATTCTTTTGAAATTCAATTAATACTAGTTACTTATGATAATAAAGATTTCTATATTATTTTTCATTTCATCTGAAACTTTCTTTTTATTAGAACCGAACTAAATAGAAAATAAAACTACATCGGTAATGTGTCATAAGATTAAAAGGATTTTTTACTTTTACAAAATTTGCTTTTGCCTGAGAACATGGATGTCTAAATAAAAAAGATCAAATCAGGTTTGTCAAATTTTCTGGTTTCAAACAAGAGTACTGTATTCTATTTGTAATATACAATTTTCCACTCATAAAACGTAATCTTGTTAGTGTAGAATTAATAGTTAAAATGAATACTTATTACAGTTCTATTGTATTCGATTATTATGTTTACGATGATTCAAATCTATGAAGACAAGTCGCTCATTAGAAACAATATACTCGTGTTGTTTTTGTTCAGATCAATTCTTACATAAGTTTCGTTGCATATTTTGTCGCCCTATTTGTATGAATGACTATGAATTGACTAATAATATAGCGCACACCTGATGATTTTTCTTTTTTGGAAGACACAATCTAAAAGGAGTGTTGAAGCATAGAGATAAATACTTCGACCTTTTACAGCTTTTTGACAGACGTTATTGATATACATTCAAAGACCACATATCCATAACGTTTCATTATAATAATGAACTTCTTTGTTATTACATTTCTGGAGAGTTAAGTAGTAAAAAGATAGTGAAGAAATGTGTCCCAAAATAGATAGAATAAATGACAGTCTTCCTGTAATTAGCATCAGTAAATATATTGTGTTTCGGATTTTAATCCCGCAGGCATTGTGTTAATTTTTCTATACATCACCTAGAGAAAAGTTTTTGACGTCATCAACTAAGTAACTGCATGTAAGAAGCGCCTAAGCGCTCCCTTTGACAACCTTCAGAGTTTCTGAAAAACAATTCATCAGAAATATATGAAGCTTTAAAGACAGGTAGATTTTGATGAATAGAGCAAAAATTATCATAGATTTCAAAAATCTTGTATGCTGTTTTCTATGAGATACTGGAATGATAATGGTGAAAAAATCGCCTTCAAGTTTTTTTGAAATGCTATCGTTAAATCGAGCTGAACATTTTGTTTTTTACAGAAGCTAGAGATCATCGACTCCAAAACGTTCGAGCTTGATCGAACCATGCTTTGATACTCTCAATAAAATTTTCTAACCGAAATCGGATAGTCGTCTTGAAGATACGAGATACTTTTTTTTGGATTTGTTATGTTCGATGACTAGCGTACTCTACATGTTTCTGCGACAACTAGGACCCATCGTGTCCAAAATTTTCGGATCCAGGAAAAATTTGACGGGCTCTAATTGATATTGTTTGATGTGCATGTCTTTCTATTTTTCGTCCTTCGAATAAAAAGGTCAAAATACCGAAAGTATCCTTGAAAACACATGTTTTTTTCTTGAATAGGACTTTTTTATTTTGTAATAAAAATCAAGTATTCATCCTCAACAGTGTATATTATATGCGAGAAAAGTTTCAGCACAATCGAACGTACTTGACCGAAGAAACGGCAGTATTTCTGTGCTTTCTTGCATGAAAAAGATGATTTGACAAAAATGTGAACAATACACATTTTTCGGTAGTTTGATTTATTTTTGGGTTTCTTAACGATTCAAGATAATTTGTAGGTCTCAAAATGCACTCAATAGATAGATACTACTGCAGTCTCAATAATGGTCATACAGAAAAATTGAGTTTTGTTCAATAAAGCAACTGGCAAATGCTTTCCTGATCTTTTTCAAAATATGCTTGGCTTGTGAAACTTAAATTTAAGCACCTTGGATAAAATCGATAACATTGTTTTTAATCGACAGATAGCCGTTGGTCGATTGATATTTGGTCAACAGTTATTTGGTCGAAAAATATTTTGTCGAAAAACATCTTGACGAAAGATATTCTGTCGAAAATTACTAAAATAGTAGCATTTACTATTTATTCTTGTACAGGCAGAATAAATGTTGTATCAATTTTTTGTGTCCTATTATACGGTATGGGTGTTGGTGTGGGTGTGAAGATTGATTACTTCTTCATAAGTACCCATGCGAACGCCAACACTCCACCCACCACCCACATCCCACACCCACCCACACCCACACCCTAGCAGAAGACTAAGACACATGGTAGATACTTTCTAACTATTACTTTCGATCATAACATAAACGTTCCTTATGATCGAAGTCTATTGTAGAGACATTTCGATGATCTTCAAGTGTGAGATATTCAAATATTTATATAAACTTTCTGTATCCAAATAGAATTATAACAAGTCTTTGACAACACTTTAGTTCTTATATTTTCACAATTGTAAACATAGCAGTTCGAAACAAACTCCTGTCATGATATGACATATCTGAAAAACAATCTATCTTCATCATAATGAGTGTCTCTCGTTAATACTCTTTGATCACAATTGATGTTCATATTTTAATAGCAGTTCCTCTATTGATAGAATGTGCATGACGAGAAACACTTCATTTCTAGGTTTAGTCTACAATCGAAAAAAAGACATATAAAATCTTGTATTATATTAATCGTATCTTTTCTAGTAGAACAGCCACGATTGTGTGAACATTCCTATCAAATGTTTATCTGACAGACATTTACAAACGATTTAAGTAGTTTGTTCTGAGTGAACAAATAATACGAAATATGCATTGATCATACAAGAGCATTTTTGATTGATTGACCAATTGATTTGGCATAAACTTTATCAAGTGAACAGTTTCATTAGACAGATGATCATATAAAGACTAAAATCATTCATAAAAATCAGATTTGAACTAAGTTCTGATGAATAGAAAATACTTGAAACCAATGAATTCGAATGCATAAATGAGATGACAGAAGCATTGATGATCAGTACAAACGAAACTAATTTCAATGATAAACAACGATGAATTAATTGAAATGATAACTGACATATATCGGAAGCATGTTATATAGCAAAAAACAACATCAATAACAATGAAACATGAATATACAATTCATAATGACATAGAGACATATAAATATTTGTGATACATATTGAATAAAATATTGATAACTACAGATTAATATGCTTGATGAAGAACATCATAAATGAAATAATTTCGATAGAAGAACATTTTTGAATAGTAGAATAATTTTACAAAATATAATATAATCGATCATTATTAATGAAACAAAATATGGTCTTAATATACAGATCAAAAAAATATTGACGACAATAAGTACATGTATATAATGGAATCGATCAATAGCACTAAAATATCAATCCATATACACTATTACATCCTAATCATATTTGATCTAAAAGAAATTCAACGATATTTTCTCTCAAAAAAAAAACACCTATGAATGAACAAATTGATCAACATATTTATGCGTCATGTTGTCAGAAAATGAATTTGACTAGATTTAATTAATAAAGATGTAATCATCTTTCTATGTTGTTGAGGAATGATTAAGCTACCTGATAAATTAACTTTCGATGACATCGACATTTTGCAATGACGAATTTAATTTATAACTATATTTTTCCAGTATCTATTTTATTGATGATTACATTAAAGCGATCGATTTATATAACTTTATCGATGATGAAACTTTTTCATATTTCAATTTTAATCATTAGATAGAGCAGTTTGAAGGACATTAGTTCAGATGAAATTTATTCTTTTTGGTGTTCATCAGTTTTTTTTTCACGATGACTTCGCATCACCAATGCCATCGACATGGAGTCTGAATCTTTCTGATTCCACACATAAAGTTTTCATAATTTGACATGAAATCATCAAGAAAAGAAAACTTTTGAACAACGATGACAAGGTTTGTAAATTACAAATACAAATATAGAGAGATTTAGACCACATGTCAATCTCATTTGATGTGACATCATTGTGTAAGAAACTCATGAACATCAACAAGAAAAAATTTCATCTGAACTAATATCCTTCAAATTTCTCTTTCCAATGATCAAAACACTTGCACTCCATAGTTTGAAACAATCAAAAGTTATTCGAAATAAAATAGAGGAACACAGTATGTTTTTTTAATGAATAATACTAGGTTTATCACGAATACTGTCTAATATAATGAATATGCAAATCATTCATATTTATGTCAGAGTCAGTGACAGTATTGTTGCTGCTACATGTTATGCAACACAACTTTTTAGTGTGAGAAATAGAGCCCGTCAGGTACACCGAATCTGGATTCAAAATTTTTTGATTTTATGGATTTTAATCAAAAGTAAAATTTAATTAAAACTTGATTATTACAAGATCATCATCAAGATTGCCTCAGAGATTTGTGGAATGTGTTAGTCATCAATACAAATAAACGAAAACGAAGATATTTGTATTTGCGAAGTAACCATCAGATTTAAATATAGAAAAAAGACTTTCTTAGAAATATTAAGGGTATATTTAAGATCAGAATCCGAAAAATTTTAATCAATTGAATCTAGGCTCCAAAGATGTTCAACAGATCGGATCCAGG